TGCCCGAGGGGCACCAATTCCTCCTCAGGTGCACGCAGCAGGGCAGGAGGGGAGCATCATGGAGGCTCTGAGCACCGCTGGTCTGCAGCAGAAGTGAGGTGGTCCTGCCGGGTCGGCGGGACCCGCGGATCATGTACGGCGACGTGTTCAATGCCACCAGCGGCCCGGAGGCAGCGGGAAGCGGCGCGCTGGCCCCCGGAGCCACTGTTAAGGCGGAGGGTGCTTTGCCCCTGGAACTGGCCACCGCGCGTGGCGTTCGGGACAGCTCGGCCACCAAGCCTGACCTGCCCACCTACCTGCTGCTCTTCTTCCTCCTGCTGCTGTCCGTGGCTCTCGTCGTCCTTTTCATCGGCTGCCAGCTGCGCCACTCGGCCTTTGCTGCGCTGCCCCACGACCGCTCACTGCGCGATGCCCGTGCGCCCTGGAAGACGCGGCCGGTATAGAGCAGACGGAATCAGGGCCGCGGGGCGATTGGTCTTGGCCTCGCAGAGCAGAGCAGGGTGGGCTCCGGAGTCACTGGCCCTTGGAACACTTCGCCTAGACCTAAAGACCCTTTCGGACCTGAAGAATAAGAGATGGCGGGAGAGCCATTGAGGTTGCGTGGGGACCTGGTCCAGGTACCTGAAAAGTACTCCCCAGGCGAGTCCCCCATCTGCCACCTACAGCGGATACTGCCAGGAAGCCATCCAGAAAGAGGAGTACCCACCGGGGCGCAGGAGCCTGGCCCGCCTGGTGAGTTCCTGATTTTGCTCGCAGCAGGCACTGCGAGCTCGGGACTAACCAGGAGCTGCCTGTCCCTGACTGGACTCCCTGCTACCACAGCTCTTGCTCTTTGACCCCGGTGATCCGATAGAGAAATGATGCAACGTTTCACTGTGTCTGGCTGGGGTCAAGTACCTAGTTTCCTTTAAGAACAGGGGCCAAGGAGGCCACTGGAGGGGCAGATGGTCACAGCCACTGGGTGCTGCAACGGAGAGTCTGCACCTCCAGCCTCCACGGACCACATTTCTACAATAAAAACTCACCAAATTAAACCCGCACTGAGAACACTGGTCACTGGTCACACCATTTTTGGAAATGGAATGCGAGCAGGTTCACACCCAGCAGGCATAGGCCTGCCAGGGTCAGGGCTGAGTTGAGTATACCAGCTCCTCTCTGGTTTCCTCCAGCATTTTACTTGCTCTAGAAAGTGTTTTGTTTTTGTTTTTTGGCAGACTCCAGGGATAACTGGATAAATTCCTGCTACCGGGACCCTATGGAGACCCTCTCTGCGAGGCAGGTCCTTCTTTCACACCTTGGCTCTCAGAGCTGTCTTGGACCTGGAGCTCCTGAACCAGGGCCAGGGCTTGGTGAAGGTAGGTTCTGAAGGGGAAGACAGAGCATCCTCCCAAGCAGAGAGAAGCCAGCCACGAGAACCCCCCAGGAAGAGACGCATGGGGATGAGGACAAAGAACTGGAGAGTGAGGAGATAGGGTCAAAGTTATCCTAATTCCAGGGAGGTGATTGGTTTTTGACACAGGATCTTGCAGCCCTGGCTGGCTTGGAACTCAGGAAGTCTGCCTGCCCCTTGGGCGACCATGGGCTAAAGGCATGGGCTACCATGACGAGCCAGGGCGTTATCGTAATAGGTGTGTAAGATACTTCAGGCGCCACTTGGCTTAAAGAAGTTCACTTCACTTGAGCTTAAGAGACATTTTCTACTGAAGAATTTGACATATTAATCCAGTTAATTCTAAGCCATGCTGGAGTCATGGGAGCTTTGAGAATCTAACCAGGAGAGGCCCATTGGCCCAAATGCATACACACAGAGAATTCTGCAACGTTTATAGGGGTTTTCAGACACGTTCAGATAGCCAAACAGGAGGCCCAGGGAGACTAGCAGGGCTCTCCATCATGCCTCCTACCCCTATCCTAGGAAGCTGGGGAGGTTGCAGGAGGGGACGTAGGATAGCTCAGGGCTTGGATAATGACACAGCCAGGCTCTAGAGCTCCCCACTCCACCATCTGCTCACAGCACTTTAGGTTATTATTTGGAAATGGAGCCAAAGATCTCTAAGCCTTTGGTATGGATAACCCAGCTAATCCACATGCAACGTGGTTGCACTGAAGACTCCATGAGCATAGATAAGTAAACCATGAACCCCTAGCTGATGCACAAAAATCACATGCTTGGGGCTGGAGAACAGAAGGGGTAGGGATGGCATGGAGGGACAGGACCTTCCTCTACTATATCCCAGTGGTCAGCTTTGAAGGTGGTGTGTTAATTCAGTCAGAGTCCAGACTCCGTTCTGACCCTCTGGCTTTCCATGCCAACTTGTCTCTCAAAAGCCATATGACCTTGTATGAACTATTTAATCTTCTGTCCCATGGCCTCCTCTGTGAAATGGGTATGTTATCCTAGCTCTGCCAGGTAGCACACTAAACCAGTGTAACAGCCTGTGCAATGCTTGCACAGAATGAGTTATCAAATGTTAACTATTCAGACTTGAGGCAGCACTGCTGAGGGGGGAAGCTGACTCCCTGACAGGGTGCGCTCACCAGACTTCTGTGGCCACAAGAAAAAGTGATGGCTGGACCCTCAGTGAACTGGACAGAGTAACTGGCTATGAAGTCAGTCACCTGTGGTTCCTAGACCTCTATCAGCTGTAGCCACAGTGATCCAGTACGGTTGGGATCCCGTCATAGAATATTGAGGAAGGTGACAAAAGGTGCTAAGACAGATACAAGCTGGAACACATCTGTGGCTACTTCCAATAGATGCTTCTGGAATACATTCTTAGATCATTGGGCCTACATGGATCTGAAACCCAGAAAGCAAGCAGAGTCAGAAGGAGCGTGTGTGCCAGCACTGCTGTTCTGAATAACTCCATTCCATTTCCTAGGGTAGTGTTGGGCTAGCTGAGCAGTAACGTTTCTTATGTTAGACTGGGATTCTCCAGGAGCAGCAGGATGCGGCTGAGTTCCCATCTGTCCTCTGGTAATATGCAAGCAAGTGGACTACAATGTGATTGCAATTTAGTATCGTGGACTGAATGATATGTATGTTCTCCCCAAATTCCTATGTTGAGGTCCTGATTCCCAGAACGGCTGCATTTGCAGGGAAGTGGACCTTGGTGAAGCCCTCCCTCATCCTTCCCTCGTTCCCCGTAGCTGAGAAGGCTGTGTGAGCACATACAGAGGTGCCAGCCATCTACAAACCCTCATCAGAAACTGACTTAACCAGGTTCTTCCAGCGGGACTTCTAGCTTCCAGAACTATGGAAAATAAATTTGCTATTTAATCAATCTATGGAATATGTTATTTCATTCCGGCAGCCCACAGTCACGACAGGTGGCTGTCAAGATGCTAGAAGCAATCTCACACACCTTTCTGTCTTTGCTATCCTAACCCAAACTATAATGGAAACACCTTAAGAGAGATGGGCGTGGCAGGCTGAAAATAGGAAGTGACTGTGCCATGGGCAGGCGTTTGTACCCCCTGCTCAGGAAGCAGCAGCAGCAAGTGACAGGAGCATGGGGTTGCAGGTGATGGGAACCAGGGAGTGACAACAATGGGGACCAAGAGCCAGTGGTGACCTGGGTCTTATCACACACTATACCTGAATCACACCCGTGAGCCTCTGAAGCACCTACCTTGTGGGACTTTCAACACAGTCCTTTCAGGTCAAGTGCTCAGCTCATGTAGGATATGGCGGAAGGACTTGAGTGTGAGCTATTGCTGTGGTTAGCTGGGATGCTGGCTCAAGAAGTGCTTACAGCAGGACACAGATGGTTTTCCACAAGAGACTTGGGGTCTTCTCATGCATGCAGGACCAAGTAGACAGGGGTCTGCACTTCCAGCAGGTCTGCCTAAGCCAGAGGCAGCTGGACCTCATCTACTCCCATGGTTTCTGGTACTCCTCAGAGGACCCTCCCACCACAGCTGAGCTGCTCTGCTCCCCAGCTGGGCATCTTACAGGAAAACTCAAGAAGTCTAAGACCATCACCTTTCTCTCTGTTTAAGGGTTCTTCAGCATTCTCAATCTTGAAATTAACTGTATCAGCATGACTGCCCAAGGGTAAAAAGAAAGCAGGGTGCTCATGTGTTATCTGCTAAACATCCTTCACCCCCTCAGGCCCCTCATCTCCACTACTGCCACTCAACCGCAAAGCCCGACAGCGCCCTCCTCTCATCTACCTCCCATCTGACGTCAGACTGCAGCATCTGCTTCCAGTCCCTGCTCCTACTCCAAGGGCTTCTCCTTTCCCTCCTGATTAAAAACAGCTGGGCCTACAAGGGCTAAAACCTAGCCCACAGCCAGCCTGGCTTCCTCGTATTCTTAAACTTGAAACCCTTGAGTCCCTAGGCGCCCTCTGCCTTATGCTGCCTTCTCTCCCCTCGGGCTAATGTCTTCTCATCCTTCTGGTTTCCAATCTTTGTCAAAAGGACAAACCTGAGCTCCCCAAACTGATCAGTTCTATTCTGGGCGAGCCCAGTCATCGGGAAGATGACTTACAAGGATATTAGCTCACTGAAAAGAACAAACCACACTTAGGAAAGCACAGCACTGCATTTCCTCACTCTGCACTCTGAAAGTGGTCATTTCAAGCTTGGTGTTTCCTCCTCTCTTATGTCCCTAATGAGAGTTATGACATGACTATAGCTAGCCTTTTTCTTCCCCAAAACTGCACCCATGTCTTCCAGATGCCCAGCATTTTTAAAGATACCAAACAAGCACTCAGTAGGCATTTGTTACTTACACTGGGGGAAGCAGGTAGAAGAGTTTTACTTGTGCACTTAGCTTTGATTTCCCACCTGAAACTAAACCTGTATCTGACAAAATAGAGTTGAACTCTCCCTTACTGGCTGATCTTCCAAGCAGCCCATTTCCCAAGGTGGTAATCCAGTGTTAGCAACTAGCATTTCCTGTCTCTTGTATGTAACACTTGAGTTATTATTATCACCTATGAAGACTGAGCACGAAATTTATACATCAGTGTGTGTCTTATTTTTGCTGTCAACACCCCACTTCCTTCAGGAAAGAATAGATCTTAGCAGTGATGTCCCCACGTCTTCTTCACTGCCTGGAACAAACAGTTCAATCCATGGCATATACTGACTTCATTTTTTCCCCCTGAACTTTAACCCCAAATTAGCTTTTCACTGAGCTCTTTCCTGGCTACTACATCCACAGTTGTAATTCGTTCCTCCCCACTGTCCCTTCCCAGAGATTTCCCCTTAGCACTTACCAGTAAACATACAGTTTACTTACCTGTCTGGTGTCTCCATCAGTAAGAAACAGGATGTACAAGGAAGAATTTTTCATCTGTATATCCACATGACACATAAGTTCTCAAATATGAGTTGAATTATATTGCTCAAGGTCAGAAATAGACAGGCTAGACAAGGGAACACAGGTGTATAGAGGGCAGGAGGTGGGCTGCAGTGTTAACCGATTCTCAGG